GCCAAAAGTGGAAGTAAGTTGATCGATGCACTCCTGTCTTGATAATCCACGTCGAAAGTCGTAATAAATCATTGCACGAAAATTTTCACGAGTTAATTTCATTTTTTCGCTGAGACACAATTTTCAAGTGACTGTAAACAATACAAATCGCGCTCAAATAACAAAACGTTCTGAAGAAAGTTATGGTCAAAAATGTCAAACTTTCTTTCTAGTGGAAACGTCCGATGGCACCTGACAATACTCAGTGTTGCTAAGGCTCAAAATATAAGTAGTGCCCCTCGTATTTAGTAGGAGTTAATCAATCTGTTGTTAGTCGAATTTATTCTCGATTTCAAGATACTGGTGAATTTCATAGGCGCCAAGGTCAGAGACGCCGTCGTGCGACTACTGAAAGAGACGATACAAATATTGTTAGACACGTTCTTCAAGACCGTACGACCACTGCAGCAGATATTGCTAGACGATTTGTTAATCGAAGACAGTATCCTCGACATACTATATCTGCAACAACAGTTAGAAATTTTCGTTTAAAAGAAACTAATTTTTGCTCACGTCGGCTGGGGCACGTACCTATGTTAAGTCGTCGTCACAGACATGCACGTTTAACATACGCACGTTTACATGTTAATTGGTACCAAAGAAATTGGAACAATGTATTGTTCACGGATGAGTCACGATTTTCTTTGTACCAGAATGAAAGACGAATACAAGTATGACGTCATCGTGGAGAGCGAAACGAAGAAAATTACTGTATGCCAATTAGAAGTTTCTTTAGTGGTTCCGTTATGGTATGGGCAGGTATATCTCGATTTACGCACTCTTCTTGTTATTCTACCACCTCCTGGATTAACGTCTATACGATATATCAACGAAATATTGCGTCCATATGTTCTTCCCGGATTGAGCCCGGATCTCAACCCGATTGAGCATGTCTGGGATATGCTTGAGCGTTGATTGCAACAATATTATCTATTATTAGAGAATATAACGTTTTTAGCATTGATTATTATCGCATGGCTTTTCCACATTCTTGATTGCAATTCATCTCATCTTCGACACAGAAATTGGAATTTTTGTGTGGACTTGCATTGAGAAAATTTGCTGGTACAAGTATCAAGATCTGTCAGACAATAAGACTCGTATGGAACAGTTGCGTTTAAATGGGTGAAAAAAAGCACATCTATCAATGAATTGAGAAAATAACATCTGCGAGTAATGTATTAACGGATATTTGTAATATCTCAAAATACTTATAATTGTAAGACTCTATTCTTAAGACTTAAATTATGTTGTAATATATGCGTATCACGTTTAATTATTTTCATACTGAGGAAGGTCTGATTCAAGACCGAAACGTTTATTTATTATATTATAATAAATATATTAACTTTAAGAGCCATCGATATCAGGCGTTCGTGGTTATATGCCTTTTTAATTACATTGTTTAATATTATCTACGAATACAAACATTAGAACAATTAATAGAAGCACTCCGTCAAGTTTGGCATCAATTTCCGCAAGCAGCGATCCGGCGGTGCATAAACATGCAACAATGTTTAAGAGACGTAATTTATAATAGAGGCAGCAATACCTCATATAATTTAATTTTTTCATTTACGAACACACGCGCGTGCACACACGCAGCATACATACACGCGCGCGTGCACACGTACACGCACACAAACACAAGAAGCGTAGCCGACTGTGCAACCACCTCCACGTGGTACGCTTCGGATAACGCTAATGCCAGCGGTGACTGCGATATAAGATTAAATTCAAATCAGCAAATGTCGTCTTGCCCAAAATCGTAACTTCGAACATGAAGGACATTAGTTTAAAAATGTAGTAACTGTTTTGTATAAATCAGTAGATTTATACTCGTTGAAATCAGTAGACCCTAAAGTGTAAAATTACGTTAATACCATAGAGTTTCTCTCTCTTTTTTATCAGAATAAATCGAGTTGAATAGAAACAGATAATTATCTCAGTTTTCAACTTTACTTTTCATTTAAGTTTTTACATAAAAAGCTTACCTGTGTGTAAAAATTGATAAAAGCATTTTAAAGAGAAAACTTTGAACTTTCTTTTTGTTTTTTTAAAACGTACGTCACTCCGTTCGTCTTTTATGAACAGTCAAAGTCAAAGGGACCATTTTTACTTCAATGTTGAATAACTCGGTAAAAAGAAATCGTACAGAGAGGTAAGAAAAAAGTAAATTAAAGGTAAAGGATCACGCTTTCGAAAACTATGAATTGTATTTGTGCCCCACTTCTCATTCACGGCATGAAACTGTGCAAAGTTTACACAAAATTTTGAGATTTTACGGATCTTCCTTTATAATCATGTAGTTCCGTAAAAATCAGCCGAATCGTTATTTCATTATACAGATTTGGAAAGTAGAGATTTCAAGCTACAAAATGCTTCTTTTAAAATTTCATTTTGATCATTTTTGTAGAAGTTACACTTCTTTGAAGTTTATCCATTTTTCGAAAGTGTGAGAGGAGATGCTTTAATTTCTGTGCGTAGTGTATTAATATTTATTTATTAACATTTGTTTGTATGTACATTTAAAATATATACATAATAACAAATAATATAAAATAAAATACATAATAACAAACACAATGATTTAATTCTTGCATTATGTACAACATAATGCTAAATTGTTATTATGTATTTTATTTTATATTATTTGTTATTATGTATGTATTTCAAATGTATATACAAATAAATGTTAATAAATAAATATTAATTGTATATATAATTGTACTTTGTTATCAAATTTTCCTGTTGCCAATGTTGGGTTTATTTAAATCTGAAATATTTTTTTATGTACAGTTTTACCCTGGTTTGACTAGGCTTTATCACATCTGATTTGAATTGAAATTGTAATAAAATCCAAATATTTTTTCGAATTTTGACACATGTATCCAAGAAATGCGTAACTTTACTAATTTCTAAGTCGAGGGGCAACCTGAAGATATTAATCGATTTTGATGAAATTTTATCCAGATCATATTGAGGTCTATAGCTAACTTTTGGGGGGTATTACTAATCTATTAAAAAAACTTTTTTTTCGACCCACCCTAATATACACTACGCAACAAAATTATCGCAACAAAATTTTTCATCGAAATTTTGCTATTTTTCAAATGCGCATAACTCGGTCAATTTTCACATCGTATCAAGACGATTTTTTTTTTCTTTTTGTAGATAATTATCTGTACTTTATGAAAAACTTGATGCGAAATTAGGTGCAAGTCGATGCCGCATCTCCATGTTTTGATAAAGCCGAAGCATTTTTTTTCTTAAAAAGTTTGATTGTTTGACGCGCCACCTGGATCGCCTCGACTTTTTGTCGAAAATACCACATAGACCATTGTAAAGTGCACTTTTCAACAAACAATTTGAAAAAAAATTCGAGTCTACGATTTTTTTTGACCGAGTAATGCCAT